TGGAAGACAGAGCAAGGTGGATATCCACGATCTGGAAGAGCAGATTCTTGAAATTGTATCTGCAAAGCGCAAGAACGCAATTGATATCTCCTGTCATCTGTTACATCATTTAGCACCCTAAGGCCGGCTTTTGTACAGGCTGTTTTCAAGCGCCTTAGAGAGATCTGGCCCTCACAGGAAGAGGATGGTGAGGCCAGTGCTGCCGATTCATTCCTCCAAATGTCTTTAGGACTCTCTCCTGGAAATGAAGAACTATCCAATCTGTGCAGAGATCTCCTTCGGACCGTTGACCTCTCGGGTCCCATACTAGTCCGCTTCCTTAACAAGATCTCTACCGCTATCGTTGACACGGAACCGCAGGCACCGGCTGCGAAGCGACGGCGGACAAGCCAAAACAATATGGTCGCAATGGGCACAAGAGACCCAAAGGAATTAAGTCAGATTATTGGGAAAATCACGTTTATCCTAGAACTGGTTGATGGGTCAAATCCGGAAAATCATCCTCGTCTCTTCGGGAGTCTGTTCCAAACTCTTGCAGTCTTGCACCACTTGAAACTGCAACTTCAGGCAGAAATGAGCTACCTCCTCAGTCTTGTTCTCGGAATAATGCTTGCTATTGTAAACAAAGCGAAATTGATGCCCAAACATAACTTGGATACCACAGTTATTCGCGCGGACATGATCATTGACTGTATTCGCACATCCCAGAGCCCGCAAGTCCAGAACACAGCGCTCTTGCTGGTAGCAGGGTTAGCTACAATATCTCCGGAAATCATCCTTCATAGTGTTATGCCAATATTTACGTTCATGGGGTCAAATGTTTTAAAAAAGGATGATGAATACTCAGCTCTCGTAATCGATCAGGTACATTGTCACCACTGTCCTTAATTTTTTATCAGAAAGCATCTAACAAAACTATGTTTTAGACAATCGATCAAGTGGTTCCTCCTCTTATACAATCCTTACGCAACCAAAAGCGGGACGTGGTGTCCGGTACATCAGAACTTCTTCTCAGCTTCACTGCTGCATTTGAACATATTCCGTCACACCGTAGATTGAGACTCTTCGAAGCACTGATTACAAAACTGGGTACCGAAGATTTCCTTTTCGCTGTGTTTGCTATGCTCGCGAATAGATACGGGACAGATCGTGATGTGTTAGGGTTGATGACTTCACTTGCAGCTAACACCGGAGTAGAGCTACAGCTCAACGTGAGTTACGCAGTTTATTTAGCGCATGTTCCATCAGTATTGTGCTAACGTGTACATTGCAGTCATACACCAAGTACCTAAGCCTTGCTCAGGACGCGTTACTTCCCAAACCAAACGTTTCTCGTACTCTTCTTGGAGTTGGTGGCGAGGATGGCCGAGATCCCCCCAGAATTGTGACTGATCTATTGCAAGCGTTGTCTCACCTTCTACAAAGCGCATCTCTGAAATCTCAAATGACGAAGATTTTCAGTTCTGATAATTCCAATGTGGCTCCTATTCACCATCTCTTCTCTCGTATTTTGGAACAATTGCTCGCTTTTTCTGAGACTGTTCGAGCCAATAAACCAGTTAGCAAAGCCTGCGGCGATGCCTTGGGATCATTGCTGGGGATATTGTCATTGATTGACTTCATTGATACTATCGAAGTTTTACTTCGACGACCTGATGATGACCTGCGTAGAAGAGTATTGAGACTACTGGAAAGCAGGTTAAACCAGAGCCACGAGAGGGATTCCGCTTCGCAATCCAGAGTTTTGGCATTTTTGCCAACCCTTATCGGCATTCTTGAGGGCTCTCCTGATGTTTTGTTAAAACACGCCGCTGTTGCGTGTATAGACAAAATAGCAGAGAAATACGGAAAGAAGGATCCGACATTAGTGGTAGTAGCAGCTAAAGCAGTTGTAGGCGAGGGTTGTATTGGTCAACCCGATGACCGCATCCGTGTAATCGGAATGTTATGTCTTGCATCTGTCACAGATGTCGTTGGCGAAGCGATTATCCCTGTCCTCCCTGCGATGTTTTCAAGGGCCTTTGGGCTCCTGAAGGATACCCTGGAGTCCAACAAGAAAAATACACAATTGCATGATGCGATTTATTCCCTTATCTGTGCGCTTATTACGCATGTCCCGTGGATGATATCGGATGACCATCTAAACCATATCCTCCGTTTATCTTTCAAATCAGCAGTTGCAGATATTCCTGAGGAAGCTGTCGAAAACCGCCATGAGGCATTGAACCTTCTCGCAAGGCGTGTTGATGTTAACGAAATTTTCAAGGCCGTCAACAGTAATTGGTCGTTTGCTTGCTCTGAAGGGCCTCAGGTAAGTTAACTTCTCCATTCCGCACTCTTCCCATTAGAATCAATTTACTCATAGTCTTGTAGGCTGTTAGCGAGTTGCTGGAGGTTACAAGTCTTTCTATCGAAAAACACCCAAAATCGTCAACTCTAAAAAATGTACCCATCCTGACCAAGCTGCTGGAAAAAGCTCTCGATATTCGTTGTACACAGTTCTCTCAGCCAACCAAAAATAGTTTCGGAGAAGATGCTGTTAATGACATTGAAAACCAAGTCAATGACATGGCGATCAAGATGATTTACAAGCTGAATGACACCGTCTTCCGCCCATTGTTTGTCCGATTAACAGAGTGGGCAACGGGTTGTCTTTCGAAATTCGACGGTTCGGGAAGGTTCTTGAGACTTACCACTTTCTACAAGTTCCTTGGGGCCTTTTTTAATACTCTCAAAGTGAGTACACCCAACCCCTGGGATAGGCGTAATCAATGTGGAACTAATGTTTAACCCGATTTTAGTCTATCGTAACTAGTTACTCGAGCTATATCATTGAGAGCACAGTTGAAATCTTGAAAACTGCACGGTGCAATGACAAAGAAACTAGACATTTGTGGTTAGCTGTCATGCAAACGCTTCGCAGCTCATTTGAACATGATCAAGATGGTACGGCAAAAATGCAAAATAGAACCCTCAGTTCGCACAGCTTTTTGATTCATGCATTCATAACAATATCACACTAACAAGTGCGCACAGAGTTTTGGCAATCCCCTACCCATCTAGCAGCCATATCTTCCCCCCTAGTCGCGCATCTCTCCCATTCTACCAATCAATCAACCCTCAAACTCATCACCGCCGAAGCCATCCCCACTATCGTTGAACTTGCTGCCGCTGCAGATTCGCCAGACAACCACAAGGAGCTCAACTCTGCCATCATGAGATTCATGCGTCCTGGCGATAGTAGCACAGGTAAAAACTTTGGCGACAACCCGTATACTCGGCTTGCTGCTGTTAAATGTGAATTGAGCCTTACAGAGCGTCTAGGCGAGGAGTGGCTAGCACTACTACCAGAGATGTTGCCGTACATCAGTGAGCTGATGGAGGATGATGATGAAAACGTCGAGAAAGAGGCGAGGAGATGGGTTTTGGCTATTGAGGAGGTTCTGGGGGAGAAGTTGGATGATATGTTGGTATAAAAAGAGGGCAGCAAGGAACTGAGATAGATCCCTGATTACCGATTTTCGTGCATCCCTCTTTATTTTGGTCCGATCGCATTATTGGTTGTGCTGTAATTGTAAAAAGCAATTCATATATATATATATATATTCAAATATAGCTAGTTAAGTTAGTTAACTAGCCATCGCTTGCTTATTTAACGGAGTTCGTCTGTCGCAAAATATCCGCATCATGAAACTATTCACTGATTTTTAAGAAAAGGTGAAACAATCCTCCACACGAAAGTACGATATGGAAAAACAACAGATGAGTTTCTCCCGGCCATAGTTCCTTGACAAATTATCTGAGGGCCAAAATATCCCACGTGTAAGACCTGTCCTTCACAGAAATCACCCATTTGGGAAGATAAGTCTCCCGAAAGAATTGTCATTGCAGTCTTACCAACAATTTCTTGATATGTTTAGGAAGAGAATTGATACTTATAGTTAGAACAACGAGATCGACTAAATTGGGGGAGGATTCAAATCGAGACCATTAACCGTTAATTTGAAAGCGTCATTCCTCGAATAGCTCCCTGCAACATCTAAGTCCAACCTGCCCCTCTCACAATCCTCAAAATCGACTTCTGCGATTAATATGTGGCTGCAGTCATCATCGCCATCGCTATCAGAGACGTGCCAGATTGGCCCTGCTAGAACCTCGCCCATAGGGCCGACTATGCAAGAGCCACCTGCAGATAAATATGGATCAGATAACAGCGACAAGGTGGAGGCCGACCCTTTGTTGGCATCTGATTTACGGTCTGGCCATGTGATTTCGTGCTTGTTTTCCGTTATTATAGATTTCCTACGACATTTCGTAGGATCAGGGACAGACGGGGAATCTGGATGTGATTCGGAAGGGGGGAGTACTGTTGGCTGCGCCGTGGGTGAACGCGTGGAAAATGGGTCGGGATCTTGTCGCGCTACTTCCACTCCATTGATAGCTGAGTTACTAGCGGGGTCCTCTAGCCCAGATGGGTGGATTCCACTGTCCGCTTCAGGAAGGACTTCTGCGGTAATAGTTGCAGTCGTGGCTGCGTTCGGATCATTGCATGGCCACACAATCTCATGCGATCCTTCTAGGGTAGTAAGTGAAGGCTGTCTGTGTCGCCGTGTCGATCGACGACTGGTTAACGGTCTGGCTTCGACTGTGTGATGACTCGCAACTTTGGTGCGTTCTTGACACGAGGTGATCCACGAAGGGAGCTGGCTTTTCCGAACACATTGGTTGGCACTGAGCACGACAGTCCTCCCTTCAAATGCCACTGTGCGCATTAACGGCAACCAAGTATCACGCGTGTCTGCAGTTGGGGCAAGATAGAGGTTCACATTCTGAGAATAAAGGCTCTGTCGTAGCAGAGGCATGAAATTCTCCCAGCATATGGCTGCTGCCAGAGTAAGTTTCACCCCATTGATCTCGGTGGCAACCGCTTTCAGGGTTGACGGCGATCCTTGTGCCCACACCAGCCGTTCACTGCCAGTGGGCATGACTTTTCTGCGTTTCCCCAGCGTCCCTCGCTTGGGGTCAACGTATACCACAGCACAATACAGACTCCCTCCCGCTCTCTCGATCAAACCAACAATGAGGAGAACTCCCGTCTCCCGTGAAACGCGTTCAATAAACTCCCTGGTGCCGTCACCCCGGTAATTCTTTCCCATCGCAACTGGAAGAGTCCTCTCGATCCATTCATCTCCAGCGCCAGTAGGGGTATCTCCAAGGTCAACTGCAGCGTGGAAGTAGTGTAGATATTGCTCACGGCCGAGTGGGTCGCGACCCCCAACGGCGGAGCCAAAGGTACATGTTCGCGGATAGCCACCCAAATACCCTTCTGGGAAAAGAAGGATGTGGGCTCCGCGGGAAGCAGCAAAGTGAGTAGAGTGCTCTAATGCTTGCAGAGTATCAGGCAGAGTGTCGCGAGTGTGCGATTGGGAGACAGCGACGACTAATCTTTGCGGCATGATTACCTACGCGGCCCAGATTGCTCAGCAGGCAGAGTGAGTGGGCATCGGCATATTTCGAGAACTTCGGAGCGTTGAGGATGCGACGGTGTCGATTTAGGGTCTCGGCTATTTCCCCGCGTTCTACGAGGATGATGTCATTGTATCCAACCTCCTTATCCTTGGCTACAGAAAGGATATCAACAACTCTCCGGATGAAACCACGGGAATGCTCACGAAATGGGAAATTCGCAGTCTAGTATGTCGCAAGTATCTATTATGCAAGTATTTATTATATACTAATTTTTGAGTTTCCAGGAACTCCCCCCATTCATGTCCCATCCTTCGAACTAAAATCTTTCTCCCCAACTGGAGAAGTCCATGTGATTCGAGCGTGCTCTCCAGAGATTTTTAAACATCTCTTCTTAGAGGCTTACGCTTCATATTCAATTAGCTATCCTGCAAATAAAATTTGGAGGTAAAAATAAATCAAAGTGGGCATACATACAGAACTTTCGGCTGATAAAATCGCAATCCGTAGCAGCATACCCACCCTAATCCGCTGACCACAAACGCTACCATCACATTATGAATATATATATATTGTGTGACGATATTATCATGGGGCATCAATACCAGGTAGATCGAGAGCGTCTCGCTTTAGTAACCCGCCTGTTTAAGAATCCGCAAGCATAGCCTAGTAGACCTGCGCGATCTCCCTCACGGAACCATAGTGCTTCGCACATTAAATCGAGCTTCCTAAGAAGGTTGGCCGCGCTATTTGGCTGATTTTTCTCATCTAGTGCAATGGAGAGTACCTGGATGACGAACAAATCCCTCTCCAAAACCTTCTGGCGGGCCTCTTCATCGGGATCATTTTCCACAACTATCTGGGAATGGATAGCTTGAATGTCATCAACGTAACTGAGACGACATCTGACGCCGTTGTAAAGGCCTCGGCTTAACTCAATTGCAGACTCTGATATAATTTCCTCTAGTTCGTCGTTGAATTGTTTTGAAGCACAAACATTCTGCGAGTATGACCGCCATTCATCTGCTGCAATTTTGAAGCTATCCTGTAACTCTGCAGCTCCGTGGATTGTGAACGAAAGGGTGTTCTTGGTCCGAAGCAATAATTCTACGAGCCCTAGTCGCATGTTCGAGCTCTGCAGTCTCCAGAATTTATGCTCCGGGAAACGGACAGAAATGTTAAGACACTTGATGGCGCGGGATCCGAATCTCCGGATTAGATGGCACAGATGGTTATAGCGACCCTCATTGTATGCAAAGAGGATGTCTTTACGGACTTCAGCTCTCTCCCCTGCATCCCACATCGGCTCCTCCACTAATTCCGACTCCTGGGTAATTTTCACGTCTGCGGCAAGTCTTTGCCTCACTCTTTCGGCCAAAAACCCATTGACGGGAATATTCGGCTGGGAATAACGTCTGTTATCCCCAAGCTGGTATATATGATAGCTATCATATTGCGATACGGTGATAGGTCCTATCTGGAAGTGAATCCACACGTTCTTGTGCAGCACTACATGTAATGCTTCCTCACGAATCTGTCTATTAAGCTGCAGAATCTGAAGACAAAACACTTTGTCCAGAGGCTTGTTTAGATCATCGGAGGCATCCATGCTTGGGTCCACTACGAGTAAGAACGAATAAATCTCGTATCGCAATTCGATTGGTAAGGATAGAAATCCTCTCCGGAGTCGGAAACGTGCTTCGGTAGATTGGGCGAGAGGAGGACCGGTTTCTATGTTAGAGGAGTCGGTTAACGAAAAGGATGATGATAAGAACTTCTGAGATACCGGCATACCCTTTCTAGCAGTGTTGCTTGATGAACTTGGAACTTGCTGAGGCTCCATTCCATATTGTACAACCGGGGTTTCCAACAGTGTTTGCGGGGAAATCGCCATAGGAAAATATGAAATTCAAATAGTCTAGAAAACTGCGGAAGCGGTGTACCCATTTTTATTTTATATCATCCGCTAGGCTATCAATGTAAGAGAGCTCGTAATTTTCCAGAGAGAAAGAAAATTCAATGACGACATTAATAACCTACGATGGCAAATGATATATGCCAGTGATACACAACAATCACTTTGTTCTTCGGCAGGATGAAACGTCTGCTTCCAGAGCATTGAACGGGTTTGACAGTTCACTGTCAAAGCAAGCATGCCTGTTGTCTTTCTTTGTATGCCACCCAGCCAGACTAAGTTCATTTCACCGGTGCTGCATTATCCATCAGTAGTGAAAATGAATGGGGCTAGAAATACAAACAAAGCACACAAAAACTAGAAAATATCTCAAACTAACAAAAGATATTGAAACAAGGCCATCCTTCAAACTTAGAGCTTTGATGCTCTTTAGAAGTTCAAAGTGTATCATATAAATCATTAAAAAGAAAAAATATAAACACTGCAGCAGAGCTGATAATCAAATATGAATATTGCAAGAAATGTTACACTTCCAGACCTCTTTCATTCAGAAATGTCAGATTAAATGTTGTTGATTTTAAAGAAAATTGTGTCACTGATTTCTCAGCAGCATTATTTAACTGATCTTCTGATTAACTGATTGTATGATCATCTCAGTGACTCTAACTTCATATTTATAGAGATAAGATGACTTATTCATCATGAAATGAACATTATTTAGTAAACAAAAATTATTCATGAAGTATGCTATGTATGTTATAACATGATTTCTTAAAATAAAAGAGTTATATAGCAATGTGGCTATGAGTACTAATCAGTATATTATTCATATAATAATATTCCACTAGACAACACACATATCACACAGTACAATTGACATCAATACTGAAAAGAGGTAAAAGAGAAGAGTGATAAAACTACTTGAAAACAATATAGATTGGAAATGAATAACTAGAGAAGAATGAAACTCCTCATTCAAGCAGCTTAGCTAAGCTCCATATGTGGAAATGGAAAAAAGTAAGTGGAAAAATGTGAGGTATACATAGAAAATAGAAAAAGAATAAAATTGTTATATTAATGTAGCAACTGATATATTACAGTCTCAGAATCCTGAAGGAAAAAGTGGACGAGACCGTACTCAAAGATCGTTGGCGGGTAGAGAAAGTAAATTTTCTTTCCCTTATTCTCGTCTCAAACAGCCCCATCCATACCAACCCAAATACCGATTGGGTAAGGAAGGGAAAAGTTGGGATGGGGTGAATCCAGCTCAAGATCAGACGATTGAAGGAAAAACGTAGACAGATCGAGCGAGGAAAGAGACATTCCCTTTGTTTGATTTCTTGTTATTGCAAACAATCTATACACATCAATGCAAATCGAGTAGGGAATTAGAATATGGTCACAGCAACATACGGCCCATTATTAATTTTTGCTCGTTAATTTTCTGCTAAATTCAAGTGTTTTAAGAACATGACTCCAGGTTGCGCCAGCCAAGGAAACAAACAGAGGGATATACCGGGGACATAAAACAACCAACCGTTAAGGCTCGAGGATAGAGCGGCAGGGAGCCGTAGTGTACATTGTGAGCCAAAAATAAGAACATGATTAAAACGCCCCATTTCGACTCCCAAAATCCTATCAGTAAGCAACCTGTGTTCGCATATCCTTAATAACCGTTAGCAAGATTGACATTGCACTAGTCTGGGTGTCAAGATTAATAATAATGAAGACACTTACAGCAATCTTTCGTTCGATTTCCCTTACCGATCGATCCAACTCCCCCGCAATCTGCTGCTTCTTGTCATTTGGAAGCAAGAGATACGTTTCACAAAGGTCGCCATCAATAGTACCCTTTGCCGGAGCATAATAACTCCTATATATTAGATGATCTCGTCCAGCAAGTGGTGGATTCTGAGCGGCAAGCTGCATTTCCAGACTTTGGAAGAAATCCACCTCTTCACGACTGATAAATGGTATCAACATTGACACGGTCCCCTGAAGTCCGGTCCACACGAGGATATCTCGCCCGCCTGTGACAAGTTGTGCCTTCTGGATGCTGGTGGGTAAATCCTGAGGATAGAAGTGGGCAACCAGGTTTAGCCTATTCGGGGCTCCTTGAAGGTACTGCCGTTCATGAATCAGATGCGCACCTGAGCCATCCTCATCAGCTTCTTCCGACGCCTTTGCAGGACATCGGAGAAGCCACAGGTTCCCGAACTTGTCACCTCCGGCAACAGTTTCATAGTCGACCATTGTAGTGCAAGTGGTCCAGCGAGAAATAACATCGTCGACAAACGGAATGAGGCGGTTTTCTTGATACTTGTAGACGACGTAGGTCAGGCTTTCCTGTACATCGCTGACGATGATTCGACTACCTTGTGTCTGCAAACCCACCACAAGGTGCGGGACAACTGACGCCTGACATTTTCGAAGCATCTGCTTCATTCCCAGGTCGTAAATTCTTAGATCTGTACCTATGCCAGCCAGAAGACGTCCTTGGAAGCCGAGAAGGGCCATCGGAGGTTGCTCAACCATGGTTTTGTGGATAAATTCTAGCTCCTTGCCCTCTTCCTGGAACCTATAAATATGGATAAAACCGGCTGTGCAGGACCTTGGATTAACAACCATATCCTTCCCAGTTCCCACAACTAGAAACGTTTCGTCATCCTGGCTCGAAAAAGGAACAGCCGCCACACTAACAGCCGCTTCATTTTCTTCGAGTTCGATTTGTGAAATGACCCGTTTTGAATTTATTGGATCAACAATTTGTATGCATGATGCCCAATGCCCAGTCCCACGCGGGTAGCCGAACTCTTCCGGTGGTAGAGGTGTCGTATCACCATTGACGGTATCAGAGTCATTGAGAAGTTTGGTTCTTGTACCCGGCGAAAGGATATTGTTTTCTGCTTCAATAACGTAAAATAGAGGATATTCAGGGTGCTTAATGAAATGTCGCGGTGTATACTGGAGAGGTATCGTTTCTTGCAGAAGGTTATTCTCCAGTTTTTCGAGGGAGAAGATCCTATTTGTAAATACGTCAGCGATCCTGTACAATGATATGTGGAAAGACTGAAAGGTAAGACAAAGTTAGGTGACTGTGTTAATTTCAGTAGGAACAATTGGATAATTTAAATAGTTTTATTCCGCATAGTCAATGCTGTGACTTGGGAGGCTTCTCATCATGAAAACTTGGAATATATTCAAAAGAGGGAGATCACCACATACCTGAGATTTTGTCCTTGGATGCCAACCATCCCCTCGACGCATTGCTCACTGCTAAAATTCCAGCCCCATTCTAAACTGACATAATCCAGAGGGGTAAGCATAAAGGCTTTGGTTTGTAAATGTGAATAACCGAGCCAAGGGCGTGAGCTTAATGCCAGAACGACCGTCTGCTCTTTCACAGAAACTTGGAAGAGCTTTACAGGTTTTAAACCAAGGAACCTGGTACGCGTATCTGATAGTTCGCCGGTCACTTCATCAAGCACTGTCCGGAGGTATATGCCCGAATACAGACCAATATGTAGATAAAGTGTGGATCCGCCAGATGTGGAATCAGACATGGCCATAATTGATAAAGCTGATGGTGCCGATGTCAGCGCCTGGACAGATTTATTCTCCAGTGTTGACTCTGGATCCAGACTCAAAATACGGACAGTAGAGTCGTCGCAGCCCACAGCGAGGAATGAACTTCTGGCGCGTCCTCTCGGGACCTCTCCCAAGCTAAGACATGTCACTGTGCCAGACATTGCTCGTTTCTCATCGTATTCTGCAAGAGAACCGTCCGTATCCATCTCGAAGTATACAATCTCGCCAGAGCTTAGTGCGATGGCAACTTGGCGCTCGTTTGTTGTTGCTGCAACAATCGATCGATGTTGCGGTGCTGGCCATTCATTAACTCTTCTATCAGCGTGGATATGGCGTATACCCTTCGGGTGAACCTGGATAAGAGAATCTTCTCCTAGCTGCTGCACTGCAAGCGTTGGTGCCGAAGACAGGAACCCAGTATCCGTTACTTCTTCCACCGTTTCGCCAATGCTAAGGACGAGTGTGCCATTAGAGAAAGACAAAATAATATAAGCATCAAATTCGTCTTCGCGTGTCAGTTTAGTAGTCCAGACGGCTGATGGAACGCTTGGAAGTTCCGACTCGACGATTTCAGCAACTTCCAAGCCGTGCTTAAGAGTTCTGAAGCTGCTCCTCGCTCCCGTGCCGCAAATCGTGTAGATCTGAGGAGCGTCGTCATCTGTCAAGTTCGCGATTTTGCAATCCATCAGCGGGTTCAATGAATCAATACTCTCGACGAGATTGACATTTTCATAAGGTCGCGGACGAAAGTATGCAGGCGGAAGAGGTTCTGAAAGGTCTGCAGAGTACGCATCACTGGTAAACTCGATTTCATCATCGTCATCTCCAAGCTTTTCAAATTGATAGAAATGGTGATTTCCCGTTTCACTTGCGACGAACAGGAAGCCGCTCTTTAAAATGCACAAGCTGGAAGCAATTGGCACAGTGTCGAAGTACTTTAGCTTCAATCTGCTAACCTCTCCGGTAATCTGGCCGTTGTCATCCTCCACCATATCAAGGGTAACCTTAAAAAGATCGCCATCTTCGGTCTGTAACAAAAAGAAAAATGCGCCACGCATTTTATGCATAACGCCAGCTGTAATGTAGCGCTTTCTCTCTGGATTTTCCGTGGGTCCGCTGCGACGCGGGATAGGTACGCGAAATGCATCTTGATTCGAGTGACGGTAAGTGATGTTGTCCTCTGCACATACAAGACAGCCACTTGGGCCATCTGCACCACCAGGAACCTGAAAAAGCATCGATGCGGAGCGATCGACCGGGTCCGACCATTTCCTGACTACATGATTCAATCCTAAGTCGAGTTCGTAGTAAACCAAATGCTTTTCCAGCTCTTCGTAGGCTTGACCTGTGGGATCTTGATCGGCTTCTGTGTATTCAACCTCCAGGGCCGCAAATATCGGATTGTCATACCCAACATCTAAAGCTGTCAGGGCAAAAACCAGGGTTTGGGGTTTATGAGCCTCTAGCGGCGAGGATATCGTTAACTCCGCCTGAGTATTTCTGTTGAGAACATAGACCAGTTTATTCTTCTCCACCGAAGCAATTAAGCACGCTCTGCCTTTCGGATCGACTGCTAAATACTGGCCAGGTATAACTCGTCGAATTCCCGATTTCCCGAAGGTTTCGAGATGGATTCTATTAAACCGGTTCTGGGATGGAACATATTCGATTATGGTGATCCGTCCTGAATCAGATCCAATAATGATGTAATCTAATAGGATATACTCAGCATAGCTCAATCAAAGTTGCCAGCGAAATTGGGGGCAGGCTTCAGCGGTGCGGCGTGGAAGTGTGCGCAACAACAGGAGCTTGCGCTGCCCCAAGAGCTTGACGAATCACTAAAGTGGCCTCGATGAAAGGGGTTGGTCAAAGACATACCTTTACTGCTTCCAGCTAGTCTGAAGGCCGCCAAAGCCCTGATAATACCAAAAACATCTTGAGAGAAGAGGGTTCTGATTTTTCCGTGTGTTGGGTCTGGGCGATGGATTGTGAGCTTCGAACCAGACGCAGTGACAATCTGCTGTTCCTTTGTCCCCGCAAACTGGCCCAAAATTGCTTGAGTAATTGCTGTAGGTGGCTGAATCGTCAGCGAGTACATGAACAACGACGAAGTGGTCGCCATTTTGAGACAATATTGGGTGTTGAGGAGGCTGAGGCCAGAGGATAACAGACAGATGATCTGGCACTGGGTTACAAAGGCGTCAATTGCATTGTCATAAGTAAAGTTGTGACCTGACGCGCTGCCAAGGCAATCCCTCGCCACTGATAAGTGAAACGAAGTGTAGCAAACAAGGGGCGTGGAGGTTAATCACGCAAGAAAATTAACATCTGGCGCGCGCGGAGGTTTGGTTGAGGTTGAAATTGACAGGTTTTTTTGTCAGTTTCGGTGTTGTTCCATGCGGCTCTAGTGGCCGCAGGCGAGCTCTTTCCGCACTAGCGCCTAATCCGTCCGCTGCTGCATCCAGTCTTCTTCCCAACTACCACATCGAACATGACGACGGCGGCTTCAGCATCTCGTTCACAGTCGCTTCAGTGACAGATTTAGCCGACATTGCTTCTGCCAACTCTCCAAGTCTCTTTGTATGTCATATGACATCTTAATTTCGTCCATCTAGTTGGGTAGTACAGCTTTGTTCATCCTTCAACTCCTCCCTCCTCTTCCCCTCACTGCTTACTTGGCCCTGTTACCATGGCGGAGGATAGTTCTCCGGGGGAGCAATCGCCCATCACCTTCCACGTCAAATCTTCAAATGATGTCAAATACACTCTGACGCTGGATCCGTCGACTACTATAGCTGATCTCAAAGCAAAATTAGCTGGTTCGGACTATGCAGATGTTCCAGCAGAACGACAACGCTTGATCTATTCTGGTCGGGTGTTGAAAGATGGTGATACGCTAGCTACTCATAATGTTAAGGATGGCCATTCAATTCACCTTGTCAAGAGTGCCATTAGCAATCAGCGCCCAGCTCCTCCATCCCAGGGCTCCAGTACCACTGCGAGCGACCGCACTCGAACCCCGGGCCTCCCCAACGTACCAACCAACATCGCGGCTGGAACGGGAAATAATCCACTAGCAGGACTCACAGGGGCAAGATATGCTGGATTTGCGCAGTTGCCAGGCGCGGGTATGTTTGGACCTGATGGTGGTGTAAGTGATAATAATCCCCTTCCCCCTCTTCATTAACAGCTTTTTTTTTTTTTTTTTCTTCTTTTTTTTTTTTTTGAAAACCAATCCTGAGATCTCGCATAGATGGGGCCCCCTCCAGATTCGGAAGAAATTATTAGAATGCTCGAAAACCCGCAATTTCAGTCTAGTATGAATGAAGCCTTACAAAACCCTCAACTTATTGATATGATGATTCAACAAAATCCGATGCTGCTGGAAATGGGGCCTGGGGTTCGCCAAATGATGCAGTCCCCATTATTCAGACGAATGTTGACTGATCCAAATGTGATCCGCCAAATGACTCAAATGCAAAGGGCTATGGGTATAGGCGGAGGTGGAGGAGCTGGCGGTGGCAGCGCATTTCCCGCCCCAGGTGTAACAAACACAACCCCCGAGGAGAGCCGTGGTACTCATGATAACCAAAACCCATCTGCTAATACCGCCAACGATACTGCAAATATGTTCAACTTGTTTGGTATGCCAGGAGCCCAAGGTGGTGCTGGTGGTGGAAATCCATTCGCCGCTCTCTTTGGTGCCGCTACACCATCTGGCGCAACTTTACCCACACAAGCACCTACAGGCGATAAACAATGCAGCTAATACGGGAACTACTCCACAACAAAACCCATACGCATTCCTACTTAGTCCTGCTTACCTCGGCCAACCTCAAACCAACGCGAACAACCAAAACCAGCAGCAGCAACCCCAAAACCCATCTAACCCCTTCGCAGCACTACAAGACAACCCATTCATCCAAGACCCCAATTTATTCACTCAGATGTTACAAACTCTAAATGGCGGTGGCCAAAACCCACCTTCTTCCAACATAGACCCAGCCAACAATCCGCTTGCAACTTTGTTCGGAGGCGGAGGTGCTGGCAGCCCAGCACCCCAGGATACCCGGCCGCCAGAAGAAAGATATGCAGAACAACTGAGACAACTAAATGATATGGGCTTTTATGAATTCGAGCGGAATATTGAGGCTCTGAGACGGACGGGCGGGAGTGTGCAAGGCGCGGTTGAATATTTACTCAACCATCCATGAGCATCCATTTTCATTTGTCTTTTTATGTACCTTGTCTTTACCCCCAGTGAATTGATAACTTCGGGATCTGCTATATTTAGTATTTCTTCTTTCGCAGCTTTTGTGCATTTTTTGTTTCTGTTGCGCGCAAAGAATGTTGATGATGCCAACACCCTCTAGTTGAAGAGAAAATAAAAACTTTTCTACTTTTTATTTATTTTATTTGTTTCTGTTTTTGCTCCATCTCCCTTGTTTGCATGCTACAGTGATGCGATGTTATTACCACTTCCATTTTTCCTTTTGTCTGGCTTTTCCGTGTTCTATCTATCTTGGATTTCTTCACCCCGCTCTTGTATTAATTAGCCCTGACTTATGGCACCTGCTGTAATTGGCATGCAAGCTCTCCTCTATTATCTTGTTTCTTGTTTTTGTAAATCAGACTGGCCATGAATTTCCTTAATTTTTTTTTTTTTTCTTTTACACTACGCTTCCTTATGTACCCAAGACCATTCCACCCTGGGCCTCCTGGGTCATGGCTCTCTTCCCTACAGCGATGCGATTGGAGGAAGAAGCGGTTATCGATGGAACAAAAAAAAATAAAAAGATTTAATTAAGGTCATAAATAGAAAGTAAAGTAAAAAGATAAACGGGAAAAATAAGACCCAGGCCCTCAGAATACAGCACTGTTCTCTCCTCGGGCTTTAGAACAAAGCGGCAAAAAGTACCATATATATATGTAGCGTGGAGTCCCTTTCACGAGCTATCCAACATAACGACCGCTTATAGGGACACAGGCGCAACGCGGAGTCCCATCAGGCCAATCAAGCCCAAAGCGGAAAAGAGCAAACGACCCACTTCCAACGGAACCCTATCGATGTGTCCGGTGGAATAGAAGGTGCTAGCAGTCACGATATCAAGGATATCCGATACAACGCCCACAGTGAGAACATTTCGTTGTTGTCGTTCATATTTTTTTCTAAGGTTATGCGAAGTGTATGCAGGTCAGAAACTGACGGGCTGCACCTCACTAGCCTAGTTAGTTATATTATACAATTATATACCCAATCTACTAAACTGAAGTAAGAGATATTGTATATTTATATAATAGCTCTAGTATCAGAAATATTGGCTTCTTTTAATACTTTTAATAGCTAAAAGATTACGGAGTAATCTGTACTTCTTTTCTAATTAGAAGCATACTATAAATATCTAGTGGTTATTGACAATTAAGATAGAGATGCATCTTAAAGTGGAGAAGTGTCCGAAAGTCAAATCACAGACCAGCCGGGCCTTACCCAATTCGGCAACTTCGGAACCACCTTAAGAACAATCCGCCATCTGGTCGATATCATGCCGCTATTGCTTCTGCAGTGCATTGCCCTCAATATCGCGTTCGTGACAACCGCTCGGCTTGCTCTCGATAGCCTGCTGGTTTTCTTCGCTGGTTGATGACTTGCCTCGAAGCCCGCTTGGCGAGCTCCATTTCTAGCCGATAGCATTGCCTACTTGCCTCTAGAACATCATTCGGGACATTTATCCTCTGAGTACCTCCTAGGGCACTCTGTGCCAATTACGCTCATTTACCACGCTGCATTTCCCCGCATCGGACGTTGGGCAGAGAGGCTGCCTTGCGGGAAAACTGACGCTTGTGCCGCTTGCTGCGTATAGTTACCCTTCGGCCGCTCAGAATAGACAAGCACCTGCTTCACGCTTATGAAATCGCTTTAGCATTCCCACTGGTTGCGAAAAGACACCGCTACGTCCAACACTATGGCTCACCGTGTCCAGATGCGAGGCCGGTCCCTGGCTTATATGTTATGCGCATGGCTAGGTCTGACATGTAGTGCTAGAGCTTTCTACTTACCTGGTAGGTGATTCTGAGAAGCTCAGATCCTACGTGACATACGTTAACGAATACGGACAATCGATCTTTTTAGGGTACTCCATCAAGAGTTATCGTGACAACGAAGCTATCCCGGTATTCGTGAATAAGATCTTTTCAGACAGTACCCAGTTGCAATACGCATACTTTGAACTTCCTTTCGTGTGCCCTCCGACTGGAAAGAAACATGGCTCTCCTTTTAGGAGCGGGCACAGCATATCACTCAACCTGGGTGAGGTGCTCCGAGGGGACAGGGTCATGGCATCTGACTTCGATGTTGTCATGGGGAAGGATGTTGAATGCCAATTCCTTTGTAACCGCCCGATCGACCGACAAGCTGTCAAACGGGCCAAGGAATTGATTATGGATGGATATGTTGCGGAGTGGATTATGGACAATCTTCCGGGGGCTACGAGTTTCGTAACCGTAGACCGTACGCAAAAGTACTATGCAACAGGCTTTAAGCTGGGTTACCTAGATTTCTCCCCCATGGACGGCAAACCCACATACTATATACACAATCATTTCACCTTTGTCATCCGCTGGCGCAAGGCACCAGGTAAAGCTGGCCAACGAGGTGAGAAGGTGATTGTAGGGTTTGAGATTCATGCGAAGAGCATTGATGCGAGTGATAGGCGTGCAGATGGCTGTCCTAGACAAACACACATCGAACACGATGGATTGGCTTTACACATTCCCTCGAATAACACGAGATTGGCGCACCAATACACTGACTCGTCTTACATCCCAGAACATGACGTGGATGTAGATGACGGAGCGACACTTTCAATTCCATATACATATTCTGTGTACTTCCGAAAAGAAGACAAGGTTGAGTGGTGGAACCGGTGGGATTTTTACTTCAATAACCAGCGAGAAGGAACTAAAACTCACTGGCTAGCAATCTTAAATTCCTTGGTGATATCCGGAATGCTAGGCGTGGCGGTCTTTGTGATATGGGGCAAGACAGTCCTGGGTGATGTGAAGAGTCATGGAGACGGCGCGATGGAGGAGGGAAAGATTAGACCAAAACGTCGCAAATCGAAGAGTGGTTCTAGAACTCCGAAATTAGCTGAAAATATCTCGAATGGCCTTCTCGATAAGGGCTTGGAAGAGGATGAACTTGACACCGACGATGAGCTCGAGGATGTTGCAGGATGGAAACTTCTTCATGGGGACGTATTTCGCACTCCTGGATATGGCGGGCTGCTTTCGCCCCTCGTTGGCTCAGGGATGCAATTACTTTTCATGGCAGCTGGTCTCCTTCTCCTGAGCTGCCTTGGAATTCTTAACCCAAGCTTCCGCGGTGGATTTCTTTCTGTCGGAATTGGTCTTTTTGTTTTTGCCGGCGCATTCTCTGGCTATTTCTCTGGAAGGCTCTACAGGACATTTGGCGGCCATAACTGGCGCAAGAACGCGATGATCGTAAGTTCCTCTGCGCGGCTTTCTCTCTTTTGGAGATTTAAATGTGTAAGAATAGATACTAACTCCCTGCATCAGACCTCCCTTCTGTTCCCTGGGCTGTTATTTTGTTTAGTGTTTTTTCTGAACCTCTTTGTCTGGGCTCAAGCGTCCAGCACCGCGTTACCGTTCGGCACACTTGTTGGCTTGCTTGCTCTTTGGCTTCTTATCCAAGTTCCCCTTGTCTATCTCGGCAGCTGGTTTGGATATATGCGGACCAAGCCTTGGGAACACCCGACGCGTACAAACGCCATCGCGCGCCAAATACCGCCCCAGTCATGGTATTTGAGGACTGTACGCGGAACACTTCTTACCGGGCTCGTTCCATTCACTGTTCTCTTTGTTGAGTTACTTTTCGTCTTCAGAAACCTGCTTCAGGACAAAAGCGGACACTACTATGTTTTTGGATACCTAAGTATTGTCTGCACAATCCTGATCGTTACTGTAGCTGAGGTCACGATCATCGCGACATATTGCCAGTTAAACAGCGAAGTAAGTTTTCTTTAGCCCTTCCGTGAACAACCCTTTACTTCCTAACTCCCTTCTTTCCTTCCAACGTAAACTAACGCCTTCGTGAATCATCAGAACCACCGCTGGTGGTGGCAAAGCTTCTTCACGGGCGGAAGCAGCGCCTTTTGGGTCTTTTTATACTGCATATGGTACTACTATGCCAAGTTACACGTGCGCGGCTTTGTTTCGAGCCTATTATTCTTCAGCTATAGCTTCCTCTTCTGTGCGGTGTATGGTCTATTAACTGGAACTGTTGGATTCTTGACTGCTTATGCTTTTATTCGCCGTATATACAGGTATGGCTGTCCTAACATAATCACAATCTCTTTCAACAATCACCCTTTCCCCCAAAATAGTCATATCTTTTCCCCCCTCTCAATGCTAACATAATTCGTCTCATAGCTCAGTAAAAGTAGACTAATGACCCGAACGAACCGACATTGACCCTTCGTTTTTCAATATATATGTCACATAGGTCTTTACCCCTCCTATTCTAGCTTGTCTACTCGACTCACTTATCGAAAAGCTATTTCCCTTATAACTCATAAAAGCGATAAACCAGTCTCTAATTAACGACGTTCTCCACATTCCAGTTCCCGTCGTCTATATATGATGATGAAGCTATTGACGATACCAGAACTCTCCAAACTTTTTTTTCACCTTTGGCCCCTTTTTTCTTTGTATTTATTTGCGTAAATTTTTGTTTCATTTCCGCTTCACTTCTAAAGTTGTTCACTAATTAGCCATTGGTCTTTCATTATTGATCGAAATGCGTTGTAGCGCCGCTGATGAATCTTCTACATAAATGTATTGATTGTTTCGATTCCTCTCTTCTTCGTTTATTTTCTGGGGCTTGTACTTTTGACATAAATATATATTGCTTTGACCTTCCCCTTTATATTCCTAGTTTCTATCATTTTTAATTTCATACGACTTCCCGGTGTCATTGGATTCCTTTGTGATTCATTGGCTTCGCATCCGGAATCGAGGGTAAATGTGGCGAGGGCAATCGAATCCTAAATCCCCAATTGCAGCTAGTTAGTGCATTTAATAAAAGATAGGTTAAAGAATTAAGAGAGCGATAGTTATCTGGTTGTTCACTCTGCTGAACAAACATCAACTTTCACTATTCTCTAGACAGAAGCAATGGAAAAAGTTCTCAAATTCTGGAAACATCAGCCTTATCACTTAGCAGAATATGATATCAAATCTGAGCTTCCGCATTTTTCTCTCTTAAATGCCTTAATATACGATTTCTTTATGAATGATTTCATTGTGGAGATGCCTGTTTAATTAGATATATACACTGTTTAGGAGGTTCAAATACAAGGGAAGGAGTGTTATAGGATTCTCAAGGTTGGAAGTTTGAGACATTTGAACTGCATTGTCTTGTACTGTACATTATAAAACGCTCTCACGAAAGGGAGAATTTGAGACTATAATTAAGCAACAAAGGGAGGAGCTAGTTATCAAAAGATGATGATGGTTTTCCTTTCTTTCCAATGTAATCGCCCAAGAATGATTTGAACAAGAAACAAAGAAACCTCAGAAAATCTAGAGGACATCACAAAATTTTAAATTAAATTTGATGATAGAAATGGGACAGGGAAAAGGAACTGTAAAAATATACATTATATAATTACCCCTGGGTTTTGCTTCCTTGCTACCCTTCTCCAGCAGGTTAGAATTGAGCGAACTTGATCTTCCCTCCCGTGCTAATGCCATGATGATTGGGTGTGGAATAACTTATTTGGTGAGTTCTGACGCGGTGGCGATATTCCCATGTGGTAATCGCCGGGTACAGGACCTGTAGAATACTGCTGTATCTTAAGAGTGAACAGTCAACCACGGAGTCTTCGCTCCGCCGTGTGTGGTAGAAGGAGCAATTTTCAATTCATATGTAGCCTTCTGTGGGGCCAGGCAGTATCATTTATCATGATTTTCAAAAAAAAAAAAAAAAAAAAAAAAAGGTGGATGTTCTTTTACGGTCATCTTTCTTTCGAACAATCTTCTCCACCAAGCAGGTGGATCGAGTGGCCTGTGTCCACCATGCAGGGAAGGGTAGACATCCGAAAAGAAATACCCAGATGTGGCCCACAATGACGCCGCAGATTTCGTCCTTTGGAATGACCCCGTGCATGACAAGGCTAAATGCTATCAGGACCCATGGAAGGTATGGCGCCGAAATAGCCAGTAGGCCTAGCAAGTGGAGTCTCATCTCTGGATTCCGTCGGCTCCATATGTACACTAGGCTTGCGGAGAGGGCTGAGCCTAGAAATGGGAGCGACACCAGCGGGGACAGAACAAGGAGGAAGGAAGTGGCGTATAGGAGCAGCCAGGAAAAATTGGCTGGGGTGGTACCGGCCGCTTCTTCTATGAGGCGCGAGTATCTTTGGAGGAAGAAGACGCGGAAAAGGAGGTCTAGGTTTAGAGGCCCGAAGTAGAAGAATGTTGTAATGAGCCTCCAGTACTAAGAAACAATCGAGAGTATTAGAAGTGGATATTGAAATTTAATGGACGGGAAGGGCCGCTTGCTTACCTGGGACTTGACAAACACAGAGCGGAAGCTGTAGAAGAGCTGGAACGGGGAAACGACACCGCACTGAACCAAGACAGAGGTGGCTAGAGTGGCAGTCGTCCACCATCGCGTGCAGACTGGCATCTCAAAAAACCATTGTTCGAGGGGGAATTGGTCCCCTCCTCCTGGGCGGCCGTTGCCCCAGATGGCAGCCATCTGGGTGTCCAGTGGCGTTGCTGGCTGTCTATCTGTCCCCTACAAATTGTCTGTTATGGGAGAATAAGGATGGATAAGCACAGCAGTGATTCCCGTCGCCTGCGGAACTGGCTGATATGCCCCGGAACCCTTAAGAAGCAATGGTTGACGAGAATACAGAATTGTAGTGTCCAGCTGTCCTTTCAGCCAAACATTCAGATTGAGAACGAACGACGAAGAGCCGCAGCGGGATTGGCTGTCCGGAACAATAGATGATCCGCGAGTGACGCTTGGCATCCACGCTAACCCACTCCTGGGCTAGCGCGCCTTCCCGCGTCGGTCCCACGCGTAAAGTGGTAAGCCGCCAGCCAATCACAACGTGCCATTCTCCCCTCCCAACCTCCTCGATATTATTTCATTCCTCCCAAGCCACACGATTTTCTCTCCTTTTTTCCCCGGTCGAAGGGAGTTTTGCTCGGGTTACTAGTAGTATTTCGATATACTACGTCCATTTTTGTCTCTCTTTTTCAGGTCCTCAGTTGTAAAGAAATTCTCACCCCCCCCCTAAACTAGAACAACTATCCCGCATGCCATAGCTACACTCTCCCTGACGGACAGCTTCGAATTGACTAGCCATTGTGCAGCTACTGGTCATTAACACAACAAGAAAGAAGCCCGAGGACTATTTCAGCTTGCCCACCTAGTCGCCATTGATTTCACCCAGCTCAATCCACCGCACCCGCACGCAAACCTCTCCTCAACCCCTGGCGCATTTTTATTCAGGGTTCTCTCGGTTCGCGGCCCTGTCTCGGGAAAGCCATGGCACCAAGGGGGCGCGGTGGGAGGACAATATCAGGAGGTAGCCCACAAGTACGAAGGACAAGTGGTGGAGGAGTCGGCTCAAGATCAGATGCAGCTGTCGCGCGTCCGTCGTCGAGGGCTGGAAGCTCGCGAGGGAGAGGGCGGGGGAGAGGAGGGGCTAGGGTTGGAGCTGGCGCACGATCTCGAGATACCGATATTCAACGTATGTCTTTTTAACTCTTAATTCTTATCTTCTATACTGCGAAATAATACTAAGACATATTCGTCTAGCTGGCGACCCTCTCCCGCGGCGGCACCGGTACAAACCTGGTACCCTCGCCCTCAAAGAAATCCGCCGTTATCAAAAGTCCTGGGACCTCCTCCTCCTCAAACTCCCCTTTGCGCGTCTCGTTCGTGAAGTCGCCGTCGACCTCCTTCCAGCTGGCGTTGGTGAGGAGCTACGATGGCAGTCCCAGGCTATCCAGGCCTTACAGGAAGCTGCGGAAGCGTTTCTCGTCCACCTATTTGAGGACACGAATCTCTGCGCAATACATGCTAAACGAGTCACTATCATGCAAAAGGATATACAATTGGCGCGCCGCATTCGGGGTGCGTGGGCCGGGCTGGGATAAATCTGATTCTGTTACTTTGTGAAGTTCCAGGGCCATGTCTGTTCTTGGACGTGGAACTGGGAGAAGAGAAGGAATGTTTGTATATAGATTTGTTTTGATTACCCCCTCTTCGTTTTTTTTTTCTTTCACAGGGCATGCATTGGTCGGTCTGGTTTGTCGGGTTTAACATTTATTCTTTTACTTTTATTCTGGGCGTTATTGGAGAGGGTAGGACACATCCGGCAGACTACGGTTATGCTAGGAGTTTTGTTGGGCGTGTTTGGAGTCTTTCTGTTTTTCTCTTTTGCTATTTGTCACTTTCCATATTTATGGGGAGAGGATTAAACAGAAGGAAAGAAAGAGAAATGCGGAGGAGGATAAAGAGGTTATAAACAACGCTTGATTGGTTGATTGATATCCTTTGGCGATCGATACCTTTGTTCTCTATTTTTCGTTGTCAATCATACAATTCTTGTACAGTACTTGTGTGTATCTGTAGATTATCCAACAAACCTTTTACCCTCGTCCCTTGGTTGTATTAACAATCGTGGGGCAAAAGCCACAAGGTTATCCATATACTTAAACCCCACCTTTGCAGAATAATAGGTAGCTCTTTTCTAACTGAAGTGGAATCCTGAATCATCTTCCGGGAGATGCGCTCCATATATAATGACGGCAGATGTGTAGCCCAGCCTATCAAGCGAACGATTGGGGATGGGAAAGAAAAAGAAACCATATCCAGCGTATTTAACGGGGCTGCTCGACCTGATAGGCGTCCCCGAGGGTGCGAGAGAAGGTAAAATGTCTTGAAAAGCGCCGGAGATATTCTATATATATATATATGGAATTCGGATGGAAACGGCGTGAAAATAGATATTCTAGAGAAAGGGAGGAAAAGCAGAAGAAAAAGGAGCCCAACGAAAGAAAGTGAAGACTAGAAAACAAGAAATATCATAACCTCTTTATCTCAACTCCGCACTGATCAGCAGAGTACTTAATCAACTCCAGTTCCACAAAAAAACTCCAGCCGTGTAGGTAAATAAATGTCCGTGTTCTTATGAACATTCCGCAAAATAGAAAAAAGGAATACCAGACAAAAGGAATCGTAATCAGGGGTTATATTAGTCGTTTATCTCAATCAAATCTCCACTGCCTTCATGATCATTTCCGAGGAGGATCGCCCACCTCCATCGCCGCCTTGATCGTAAGCTTTATTGCTATTAGACGACGAACTCGATTTCATCTTCTTCAGCACCGGTGGCAAGCCCAATAACGCCATATCTGCTTGCTCACGAGTAGCATGAGCTTCTCTCGATTTCCCCTGAGAGTCCAGCGTGGCTGCCAACAGATCCTCGGTCACGCTAATCCATAACTTGTCATCTGCCTTTCGCGCCATTGCTCTAGCGGCCTTGGCACTTTTCTCCGATTGTTCACCGACGACGCCGCGGAAGTATTTCCAGCTCATGAATGTAAGGGCAATGCAGGTTACTTGGCTGTTGCCGATGGCTATTGCAGCTTGGAGGGAATGATGTAGATCATGTTTGGTTTGGATGGTGGATTCGGTGTGCGTTGTTGCTGATATTAGGAAATAGGCGGCTTGGATGTATTTGTTAGGGCTAACGCGGCAGAACGGCTCGATTGTAGAAAGAACTTTGGAGGCGGCAGAATGGGAGTGGGAGGGTCGAGCTGGATCGCGCAATATAAGCGCAGAATTTAGAGCGGCGAGGATGGCAGTGTCCCGTCGAGGATCATTGCGAGCAGATTTACTGGTAGTCTGGTTAAGCGCGAAGATGGGCTGTTGGAAAGTTGCGAGCGCTGCCTTGAGTTCACCTGTTCCCTGGGATATGATGCCGCTTGCGTACTCCATAAGGCATATAGTTGCTTCATTGACATTAGTTCCCAACTCAGACACGGTTGACCGTAGCTCTTTGAGTGTCTGACGAGCAAAGGCCCAGTCGGTTCGGGCACAAGCTAGGAATATTAACTGCAAAAGCATATTGCAATATAAAGATCGTCGCCATTCAATCCTTTCAGTAGCGTAAGCTAGGGATTCTGGAATTTCTTGTGGGTTTTTGTAGTTACCTATAATTATGTCAGTGTAGTTCTTAGGGAGTTATCAAGGGATTTTCCAGCTCACTCCGTATCATCTTTAAACCCTCGCTGAGATACTTCTCAGATTTATGTCCATCTTGCGAATTCTTCGCTGTGAGTGTAACAGAGCTCAGGAAATAGCAAAGAGCATAGATGTCATGCTCAGGAAGCCAGCGCATCATCAACATTACATTTCCATCCTCGACTTGTAGTATATCGGTTGACTCCGTGGCTGAAGGTGACATGGTCTTACGGCTGAGGGGGAGCGAAAAGCTTCCATCATTTTGCCAGTGTGGATCGTCTATCTTCTGATCCATTACCTTCTGCATTATCTGAAGCTTTTCGGATGATTGCTTAACGTCATACTCGAGCAGGCTGCAGCAAATATCCATCATCTGAATCATCGTGCTTATTTGCGGGATGTCGAGCACTTTATTGTCGAGCTGGTAGCTCCTCGCAGTGGCCAAAGCCCGCTGTGCCTGTTCAATCGAATCATGGCTAGATGAATGCTGCAGGCGTACCAGAGCTTCGATTACCGATGAAACAACCAAAATAGCTTTGTCACCGCTGCGACTGGCAAGGGAGGCGACTTTTTGTAAGTTTTGTATCGCAGCTGCCGTATCTTGCTGTGCCGAGGATGACAGGGAGAGAGTGACTCGAAGAAAGCGGAACGCATACTCCCAAGCAGTATGGCGGTATCTAATGCTGTCAGAATAAGTTTTAGGTATACGGGCTCTGTAGGCTCACCCCTCAGCATCACGAACGACTCCATCCACATGCTTCATGGCAGCTTTTGGATTTGATTTATACAATATTCGGGCCAGAAGCTGCTGCATACAATACTTCAAATCGTACATGCGGTTCTGATTCACAAATAAGTTCGAGTGCCAAAATGATTTCTAAACGAAGCCCTAACTGACCCTTTCACATAAATCAACCTAAAAGTGCTAATTTAGCCAGGGATAATTCACGGGCAGGATGTCTCGCGGCTTACCCCTTTACTGAGTGCGGTCTCCGCTTCGGAGTCATTTTCTGTTTCTTCGTACAATATCCGGGCATAGCGAAGCCGCACCAGGGCCTCAGTTCGCGGTGGTAATTTCCAGGTCTTAATCGAGGTAAGTTAGCTAAATTTTGTATTTACGATTGTATGCACCAAGTATTGCGTAGGGGTTCCAACCTTCAGCACCGCTTCTAAACATGCTAATCCAGTTGCGATCAGCTTATAATACTCATTTGTCTCTGCCTCCTCTCGCGCAACTGCAAGTGCCGTTCCCTGACTGTGTGCTGCATCAATATACTCATCTGCCAGTGACAAAAGTAGCACATGATAATCAATTGCCGGTTTCCCAGACGTCGCTGGGAGCGGCTGAGATTGTGGCATCTTAGTCGGGGACTTGGAACACATGTGTTTCAGGGATTGCGATCTTTTTAGTTGAGAGTTCGGCAGTGGTGCAGCTTGTTGTTGCACGGCATCCACTGTCCTATATTGATGTAGAGCGGGCGGGCGGGGCATTATAACCTGGGGAGGGTACATATGTGGAGGTGGCGGATAGGAAGTAGGTTGAAATTTTGATTGCGATTGTTGGGGAAGTTGAGCCGAGTATTCCTGTGGTGACGGACGCGTATCGGGTCGACTTTGGATAGGAAAGTATTGAGGGGGCGGCGGAACTCCGCCATAGTGAAGGTGCGTATTGTTTGCGGGCGGTGGAGGACGGGCTTGAATAGGTCGAGGCGCATAGTTGACAGGCGGGTTCGGCGGCTGCTGTTGTGGATGTGGTGCATGTTGCTGGTGCTGTGGCGCGTAGGGAGGCGCGGGGAATATGGCCTGGGGGTGAACGAGAGGTTTGGGATATACTGTATTCGCAGAATTCGGGCCAAAATTATGCTGATGCCGCGGTGGAGGTATCCGGGGTGGCTGTTGGGCTTGGAACGACTCTGAATGGGAGGGATATTGACCACCATGCGGAGGTTGGTATGGCATGGTCACGGTACTGCGGAGGAAGTCCTTCCAAACAAGGCGTTTGGCAAAGGGTTTTCCTCTATGGCCAGGATCTTATTGATACTTCTTCTTCTTCTTCGTCGTCGTCGTCGTCGTCATTTGTCAATAATGTCTGACCTCACGTCACTAAATTTCCGCTGTAAATCGCGATGCGCAATCCATACCAGAAAAGAGTAGACTTATTGTACGACCGGATTATGGTTGTTCCACTGTGCCAGTCAGCAACACCGACATTGAGTGTTTACTTCTTATTTTCTTCTTCAGATATGTATTCTCGTACCAGGAGCAATATAATATGCAGTTTATCTTTATTAGACCGTTCCATCACATGTACTCTCGCCCGACAAGCTACGGAAGGCGGCAAACAATCCCTTGCCTGGCCAGGTAAATGAGCCACCTGAACCAGTTGGAAAATTGATGGGGAAAATGAGTGGGAGATTGAAGAAGTAGTTACAGTACTCCGTACTTGCAAGCCGAATCCGCCAGAGAAAACTGCAATAAATACCGGATTAAATGGTTGGGATCTGATGATGATCCGGCCTGGTACCCCGATTCGGTACGCTGGCCGACTCGGTAGGGAACCGAACAGCAAATTCACCGTACCTCTTTCTCATTCACGGGAACATATCCTGGTATTGCTCTTCATAACAGTGGCGCTGACCATGCCGTTCTCGCAGGCCTTATTAATTTGGTCAAATCCTTCCACTAGGTCCAGAGGGGGGTTCTCGAGCCCATTACCCATAAGGTTCTTGACCTTATTCACCTGCTTATGGATTGCTAGGTGTTTATAGAATCCAGGATGACTGGGAGTTGCTAGATTGATTATCAGGGGGCGTAGGAGTTGGAACTGAATATCTAACTGCTGGATGACCCGGTCAGGTTCAAATAAGGCTATTCCAGTAGCTCGAAAGTCACTTTGAATGTTCTGAGCCTTAAAGGCTTACACACGCGCTGCAGAGTAGACATCTAGAAAATCAACCTTCTTAATAGTATTAAATCCCAGCCGCATGCGCTGTTCCACCAAACCCCCGAGACTGCCAATTCGACGCAGGTTTGCCACCGGAATAAACACTCTAGTAAGCCATTTAATTCCTATCTCCTCTGTAGTCTAGCCATTAGAACTAACATCAAGCCTTGAGGGCGCACGGTATCGTCTCCCCAAAGCTTAGGGATATTGTGAAACCCTCTCGTGAAATTCACTGAAAGATCCACAGGTGCCTGCACAACCGCATTTACAAAACGCCCAGCGCCTTTGCTCATATGCACGCCAGTCGGGCGCAGCATGTCAGGGTCTTTGTCGGAGCCAGCTACCGTCTGACTGAGGAATCGACTTCGGCTGGCGTCATCCCGTTTGGGATTCAACTGGCCTTGTAATGGACCGTGGCATAGAGCTTGATCCGACGTTTGAAGTGGGAGTTGACCGACCAGAGAGGTTGGGAGGGCTCCGAACATAAGCAAGAGAGTCCTCCACAATCAAACTCGCCTCACTTTGTCCAGGCGAAATCGACGGACTTGATCTTTCCCCTATATGTGAGGCCTCGCTTTTGTTCGCGATCGTCGGCACTGATGCTTGGGACTGCTGTCGGCTGCGTCCAGCCGGAATCTGCAAAGCTCTCCATGCCTCCGAGGGAACATCAGCTAGACCCATCATCATGCCGCTGACCGCTGGTGAGGTCACTAACTTTTGACCTCCAGGGCAATAGTGAGGTGACGCGGCTGCACCAGTAGGCTGTGAGCAAACCTTTTTGATATTTATCCCCCCAGACTAGAAATGTTGAATATCAGTCGCTTATCGAAAAATGTAGTATGATATTCACCATTACTAGTCTGGGGGGGCGGGGGCGGTAAATATCAAAATGGGGATAAGCATCAAAAACATAGAAAAAAACTCGTCGAAATACACATGATTCCATACTTGGGCATTTACCCACCCATGATTAGACAATTCAAATGCAACCTCTCTTACGGACTCCGTACATGGTGTTACAAAAGAGATTTTGCGCAGTAAAGGATTGGGCAAATAAGCATGAGCAACTGCTTTTCAAAACTCACCACCAAATCAGGGGTGATTGTGATGGTGAAAAAATACTGTAAACGAAACAGATTTCTCAATGCATCAGTTCCTAGTTAATTCAGTTAGCTCCCATATGCATATAATCAACCAAAAGGCTTAGAAGAACTCACATGGCCCTAACACTACTCTGATATTTCAAATTGTGATGCCTTACGCCTGCTGGGAACAATGCCAATTCTATTTGACCTGACATACAAATCATACAAATAGAGCACAATATATGAAGATTCAAAGCTGAAGAAGAGAAGAAAGGTGAAAGCTGCTTTGCAACTCGTTGCGAATAAACAAAACCCTATGCCCGACAGGCCAGTCCCAGTAGTTATGGTAGTGAGGTTGGGGTCATAGTCAGCATTTCTGGAGGACATCCCCTCAGCGGCAACAAACATATCAGGAAATATTTTATATCGAGTATGTCAGATGGAAAGCATATATAAAGATGCTCTCTTGGACTGTTGTGAAAGATGAAAAGAAAATTGAACAACTTTCATTACAACCCTGCCTATCTGAGCTGTCAGTCAATTTATAAAGAACCTTATTATCACTTTTATCACTATTTCTCCCTCTCCTTTCTCTAACCGCATCAAAACGCTCATTAGTGGCCAACTTTCTTTGTTAACAAGGTTTATGGCTTTATGTTCCCTTGTATAATTTCCTGAGCCCAGATTTCTCTTTCTTGCTCTACACCAGGCCCAAATTCCATCACAGATCGCTGCATATCATGGCCTTGAACATGGTGAAGAACAAAGCACTCAATTATGCCCTGCGAGCGCTGCAACTCATCTTCAGCATAATCATCAAGGGAACAGACGGCTATGGTACGCAGAACTAATACATTCTACTCTGCTTACCGCACTGTTGCGTCTGACCCTATCGCCTAGCTAGCTATCCATGTGTTTCGGTCATACTGATTATGTATGTACACTTCGAGTTCGGCAACTTCCACGCTTACTATGGCGTCCCCAATGCGTGGGGCTTCTTTGATGTTCTGCGTTATTTAGCTGGACAGTTTTGATCATCATCTTTCACCTCATTGCTGAAATCAGCTTCGCGGATCGTGCGTTGATTGGCTACATTCGTGTCGCCGTTGAGGCCGTAGCTGTCCTCTCATGGCTTGCTGGTTTCATTACTATGGCTGTTCAAATTGCAACCGACACATGTTCGACAGGAATATCCTCATGTGGGTTGCTCAAGGTGGCGACAGTCTATGGGGCGTTCGAATGGCTGCTATTCATGATTACTGCAGCCCAGACTGTCATATTGTGGCGGACGTAAAGCTTGCGAAAACAGAATTTTCTGCCACCCCCTGAAAAATAGTAGAACAACACCGCAAAAATAATCAAAATATCCACATATCTCTAGAATCATTCAAATATCATTCAATTCATTCAAATACACACCTTTATCATCAAATACGCATCTTTATCATCAAATCTGCCAATATGCCCCGCAACACCCACCGTTCTACTGCCTCGCAAGCTCGTAAAAGGACTCCAACTACCCTGCGCCTTCGTCTGTCCAAACCGCCTGTTCCGGATGTTCCGGATAATGACGAGAATCCAACTGATGATGAGAAGGAGGATAAGGAGGAGGAGGAGGAGGAGGAGGAGGAGGAGGAGGAGGAGACACAGTCAGAAGATCCTCGATTTCTGCGAACACCTACCCCTGAGCCTGAGATCTCATTCAGCTGTATGAACGGGTGATTATCAATGGGATAAAGGAGCCTATAAAGATCAAGTTACGGAATGTCACAACAAATGATATGACTGTCAGCTTCTATCGTATCCAATATCTCCCTCAACTCCTTCTTCATCTAATATTGTGTCTCCAAGTGAGATAATCAATGTGATGGTGATGAAATATATGATGGAAGGAATGGGAGGCATGGGAGGACTGAATTCAAACTTGTCATCGAATTCAAACTTGCCATCAAATTCAAACTTGCCATCGAATCCGAACCTGCCATCGAATCCGAACCTGCCATCGAATCCGAACCTGCCATTGAATCCGAACCTGCCATCGAATCCGAACCTGCCTCCTATTCGAAGTAGTCCAATCCCTCAGTTTGGTGAACACGCGGATCTGTTTATTGATGAGTTCTTCAACTGGTTGATGACAGAGAGACCTCGAAGAGCAGAAGCTCTTTTAACTGCAAAGAGCATTATTCAGAATGAAGGATTTGAACTGGATCATATACGGACAATGACAAATGAGCAGGTGGTTCAGTTGAATATTGGAATGGGTATATTCTCGATAATAAGAAATGGGTTAAAGAGTTCTATCTGGCAGTCACAGTTGAAGGAGATTAAATTGTCTTTATCTGCTGTTTGTAATGATGACAGCAGACTTCATACTGCTTCTGCTTCTGAATTTGAAACTTAGATATTATATATCATCATAATTGAATTGTAATCTGAATCTTTTTAAATTTTACAATACTATCCTATATGAGCCGATCTGAAATATCCTCTTGCATCTTCTTCTCCCATGAAATTCTCAACTGCATGATGCAAGAAGGCTTCAAAATCTCCATCAAACTGATTCTCTAACTGACATCTGTATCTTCTAATCCATTCTTTCAACGCGTGAAATGACTCCTCTATAGGATTATAATCAGGAGAATATGGAGGTAAGAATAAAAGTCCAATGCCAGCTTCTCTGCAGAGATCTCGCAGTGCTTGTGAACGATGAGAAGAGCAATTATCCATCACTAAGTAGTGATAACCTCGTTGGCATTTGGGCAGTATCCGGACACGTACAAACTCATTGAACCTCTCTGTATTATAGGACCCCTGATATATATCATAATCAAGATATCCATCGACACTTATTGCAGGTAAGATTGACCATCTGCGAGATCGTTTACAGGGCCTTCTAATGCGACAAGGGAATCCTCTGCTTGACCATCCATATCGTCGATCTGCAGTACGTTCATTCGCAGCACTCTCATCTAAAAAGATAAGTTGATCAGGTTGATACTGAGTAACTTGAATACGCCATTCAGCTCGAAGTTCTTCGTTGCGTTGACTGGCCACAGGTTCAACCTATATCAAATAGAACTGACAGATTAGCAGGTTCTATAAGTGACAATTGCAATAATTAATCACCTTCTTCCATGTCAAATTCAGTTTCTTCAACAATCTAGATATCGATCGAGGGTGGATATCAACATCAAATTCATCCTTCACAAAGCAGACAGCCTCATCGCGATATGCAGTTGAATATGCCTCAAAAAAGTCCTCCAAACCTGACAAGATATCCGGTGTGATCTTTGGCTTTACACCCCATGTTGAACGAGGACTTCTAGCAGTTCCAAAGCAGCGAATATTTCGTTGGATTCGATATACAGTGGCCAGACTGCACTCAATGGTCCGCGCAATCTGAGCAGGCATATAACCATCATTTAGAAGGCGTACGATCTCATTGGTGGTAAATTCGCTGAGCTGGGGGGGCATATTGGCAGATTTGATGATAAAGGTGCGTATTTGAATGGATTGGATGATATTTGAATGATTTTAGAGATACGTGGATATTTTGGTTATTTCTGCGGTGTTTTGCTACTATTTTTCAGGGGGTGGCAGAAAATTCTGTTTTCGCAAGCTTTACGTCCGCCACAATACAGCGTAGTTGTCCTGAGCTCTCGCAAGCCAAGGACTTCTATGATGTGCTAACGCATCTCACTGTTGCTTCCCTATAAAATATTTAACTGCAAGCAGCAGCTTTGATCTTCCCATAATATTGAGTGGCTTCTAATTATTTCTTCTTATATTATTTCTTTTACTTCATAAACTCTGTCTGCTTTTGCTTGTGAAATATTGTCGATTGAAGCTTTATATTCCTTTTATATATCTGCTCATTTATCTTTACAGCTTATTAGTATCTACTTACATAGATAGGTATAGTTGCGTCACTGGGTGGGAAATTGACAGGTCATGGCGTTGGCAGATGATGTCTTTGGAACCCATCAAAATTTTGCATTTGCGACCCAAATACGCCATCCAGCAGGTGGAGGTAGGAGGTAATGTACATACACCGAAGAGAGCCATCCGCGCGCAAGTGCGTTTAGGTTCGATGGCCTCGAAGGTAGAAGCAATGATGGCATAGACAGATATCGCATCTACTGTACGGTAACGGAAACGCCGAGAAACGTCTCTAAGACGGCAAGATGATAAGGGAAGACTGGCTGACAGAAAAGTCACCTCCACAATCTCTTGTCATAAGATGCTCAAGATTCTGTAGACCCCGCGCTGTTCCTGTCCCTTACGGTGCCTCAAGCAATGACAAAAGCGCCATTCAAAGAATCCAGCCAAGAGGGTATTATGTCCATCGTCTGGAACAACATCTTGCTCTCACTCATATGCATTTCAATACAAGATCGATAACACCGAAGTAGATATCGCGATCAAGCTCAGCCTGCTCAAGACCCAGTCCCACAACAAGGAGCCTATTTTCATTTGGATTCTTCGTCACGATTGCAGTCGCAATCTGGCATGCGAAGAGCTGGCCAATAGTTTCACGTTGAGAGCCGCGAGCACCAAGGACGGATGTCGCAGTAAAGTTAGCTAGTGGAAGGAGCCCGTCTTCGTTTGGGTTTGGGAGAGTACGATAGCCGTTGGTCCCAGGATTCGTGTTCTCTAAGGGTACATGGAGCTGGGAAGATCAGTACGTATAGACCACCAGAAGGCAGAGTTTAGGTCAGTTCATACCCACTGTCCCAACTTCTGCTTTTGAGATATAGTCACCAAAATTTTGTCAGAAAATGAGACTGTCATCACCTCTGTTTCCACTCCGCCTAACACCCCGGCTGCCTGTCTTGTCGAAGCTGGATATGGAAGATTGGTTTGTTCTGGCAACGGACCAGCATCCCGCATCACCTCCTTGAGCTGAGCATTGGGAGGAATTGAATTGGGGAGCATAGTAACGAAATGAGTAGTAAAATAATAAGAGAAAAGAATAAGAATGCAAACAAATGCAATTTACGGGAGGTGGGCTGCGACTTCACCGCCTTGTGGCAGAACTGCCAACTCGATAAATTTCTCAATTGCATCAAATCGCAATCATGTAGCACGCCCTTAGGCTTTTCCGCTCCAACCAAAATGCCAAAATTCGTTCCCAGACAGCGAAAACACAAAAATAAATTAAAGGAAACTAATCCCATTCCCCAGCAGGACACCAATGTTGCTGAGCTTGCGCCGGTTTCCAAATTGGAGAAGGAAGAGAAACGGCGGAAATATAGAGAAGAGCTGCTAGCGCAACAACCGAGGATTTCTGGGAAGAAGCAAAAGAGACTTGACAAGTACATTGTACGGTCGATTCTATCTATGTGTGTTTCTCATTTTCTAAGACACTAACTTATGGTAACAGGAAACAAAACTCAAGAAGGACGAAAATCTTATACTTCTCAAAAAGTTGTCGGACGCAAAAATAGATACCAGTCAATTACAAAGCTCTCGAGATCTAGGGAAACGCAAACAAAAAAAGATTTTATCTTCAGCTGCAGGTAATGGAGACACCAACAGTGTTACTCTACAGCAGCACGCCTCAGACAACGAGATAAACGAGGCAAGGTCGATCAAGCCGGTCCTCACCTCTTCCAATTCGACGATCAATATCGCCAATACCATTGCTGGCACTGGAACACCAGTTATTGGAAGTGGATTAAAACGACCGCTAGAAATTGGAGAAGACGGCTTTCCCGTCATTAAAAAGCGGAAACGTGCCCCAAAAGCTAAGTTTATAATAGAGGAGCCATCCTGGGATGGATTCGAAAGCAATGGGTCCGGCGATGATGCAACAAAAGACCCAGAGCGTTCCGGTAGCTATATAAGTGATGATGAAGCGGGTGGTTCTGGAAGCGACATAGGATCAGGACAAGGTGATAGTAACAATGATGGGGACTATGAGGATGACAGGTCTTCAAGCTCCGATGATGACCCTAGCGAGCACACCATAATTCGACCGCGAAATTCCGCATTCAAAACATGGGCGGTACAGCAAATAAACGACACGGTTGGCTTTAGACCCACAGAACATGCGCCTCTACCTCATGCTCTTCCGCAACCAGAAAAGCCTGCAACCTCGCGCCAGACTGAGGGTGAACTCTTGCCAGCTAAATTAAAAATACCAAAAGGGGCTCCGAATAGGAAGGCTTTCACTGTCCAAGTAAATCGACCTGAGCACATACAGGCATCTCGTCTCGCTCTACCTGTTGTTGGGCAGGAACAAGAAATTATGGAAGCTATCCACAACAATTCTTCAGTTATCATCTGGGGCGCAACTGGAAGTGGTAAAACTACACAACTACCGCAGTTCCTCTTCGAAGCGGGATATGGAAACCACGAAAGCCCCAATCCGGGGATGGTTGGAATAACTCAGCCGAGACGAGTTGCAGCTGTCAGTATGGCCAAGCGAGTTGCAGATGAGCTGGGCCAATTTGCGGATCAGGTTTCATACCAGATTCGATTTGATAGCACAGTATCAAGCAAAACAGCTATAAAATTTATGACAGATGGTGTTCTGATAAGAGAAATTGCCCGAGATTTCTCTCTTTCGAAATATTCGATCATTATAATTGACGAAGCTCACGAGAGGAGTGTTAACACAGATATTCTTATCGGTATGGTCAGCAGAATCGTTGACCTAAGGAAGACGATGAATGCAGAAGACCAGTCTGTAAAGCCACTGAAGTTGGTTATTATGTCTGCTACATTACGCATATCGGATTTCCTCCAAAATGAAAATCTCTTTCCCCAGGGACGACCTCCGTTAGTCCAAGCTGAAGGACGCCAGTATCCCGTCACTATCCATTTTTCACGCCACACACGTCGTGACTATGTCGAAGAGGCTTTTAAAAAAGTATCCAAAGGCCACAGGAAATTGCCTCCGGGAGCGTTTCTTGTTTTCCTAACAGGACAGGCAGAGATTAAAGATCTATCCAAGCGTCTTGAACAGGCTTTCAGGTCTACTCATGTGCCCAGCCCTTTCCAGGGAAAAGTTAAGTTATCAGCAGTGGAAGCTCCCCTCGAAACTGAAGATATTGAACTTGGAAGAACAACAGGCCCGATAGGTAATGATAGCGACAGTGACATCGAAATTAGAGGATTAGACGACGATGAAAATGATGATGACGATTTTGACCATGAAGAAGGGGCTGTTGATTCAGGAACAAAGGTCCATGTCCTTCCCCTTTATTCCCAACTTCCTACTAAGGAGCAGATGAAGGTGTTTGAGCCAGTGCCAGAAGGTTCCCGCCTCATTGTTTTGGCCACCAATGTGGCAGAGACCAGCTTGACCATTCCTGGCATCAGGTACGTATTTGATTGCGGCCGTTCCAAGGAAAAGCAGTACGACGTCTCAACTGGAGTCCAGAGCTTCCAGATCGGTTGGATAAGCAAAGCCAGTGCTAGTCAACGTGCTGGACGAGCGGGAAGAACCGGCCCCGGGCATTGTTACCGACTTTACTCCTCTGCCGTCTTTGAAGGGGAATTCGAAGAGTATGCAGAGCCGGAAATCTTGCGGACACCGATCGAAGGAGTTGTCCTGCAGATGAAATCCATGGGGCTTCATCATGTTATCAACTTCCCCTTTCCAACCCCCCCAAATCGAACAAGTCTTGCCAAAGCGGAAATATTACTGCAGAACCTTGGCGCCCTCTCTTTGGATGGTCAGGTCACCGAGACAGGCCGCCAGCTTAGTCTATATCCACTCTCCCCAAGATTTGGAAAGATGCTCCAAATCGGCCATCAACACGGTTGTATGCCATACGTAGTAGCTTTAGTTTCCGCACTCTCAGTGTCGGACCTTTTTATCCAAGAAAACCAGCTCGATCTCAACCCCGTCCAGCATGAGGATGACGAGGAGAGTAAAATCTACACAAACGCGAATAGACTTGAGGATACCGCGAGAGAAATGCGGCGAAAGGATTACAACAGAGCCCGCCGTATCTTTAGCAAGTACGACGACAAATCTGACGCCCTAAAATCCCTTGCCGCAGTATGTGCGTACGCATACGCAGCAAATGGCGAGTCCTTTTGTTCTCAAATGTTCCTGCGTCCTAACGCAATGAAAGAGGCCTCCCAACTCCGCCGCCAGCTTTACGAGATCGTCCGCAGCAATAACCCCAATATCACGAACCAATTCGAATTGCGCCTCCCTGAGCCCACTGATAAACAACTCCGCGCTCTGAAGCAAATCACCGCAGCAGGCTTCATTGATCACGTCGCAATTCGTGCAGATATGGCTCCTGTCCCGCCAGACATGCAGCGCAAGCCTCGAAGAGCCATCGATGTCCCATATCTAACTCTCTTCTCATCCCTCGACGGACCCGCGAGAGAAGTCCATGAAAAAGCCGTATATATACATCCCACATCTGTCCTTGCTCATCTCTCGACCACGGAACTTCCTCAATACCTCATCTACTCTCATCTCCAACAATCTGCCCCAAGCGCTATCTCCGATGTTTCTACCAAGGTCAGAATGTTCCCCCTAACCGCCGTGAGCGGATTACAACTCTCTGCTCTCGGACATGGAACACCTTTAATTGAATATGGGAAACCTATTGGGAAGATCGAGCCAGTTGCCGGCGCATCAGATAAGCGTGAGTGTTGGGTCATTCCGTCATTGAAGGGGGATCCGGGAAGTATGGGGTGGCCATTACCAGCGAAGAAAGTAGTGCAGAGGAAAGATAGAAAGCATGGGTGGGTAATTGAGAAGTTTATTAAGTAAGATTATATATCTACATATTGATCGGCTGGGTTTCCGTTATATTTTGCGTTTCTGAGCTATTGTTAGGGTGACGGTTACACTTCACTGCAAACAGAGCACTACCCATAGACCAAATAACGATAAAGGTATCATTTGTAGCCAGTTTTTGAAGCTTATCTTTATTGTTTTGTGGCATTCCACGCCTCCTATCAGCCCTCAAACGAAGTCGGATAAAATGGACAATAGAGCGGACCTTCCTATAAGAACGCCTTAATCGCTTAATGAAAAGCCCCAAGAATCCATTTACAAATAGCCCAAATTACAAAACGACCCCTCTCACCGTTCTCGCCTAGATCTATTCTGGTACCCATCCCTACCAGGATCCCGATCCCGATCCCGATCCCGATCCCGATCCCAGTCACGACCCCGGACCCGCTCCCGATTCCTATCTCGATCCATAGATCTGTCTCTCTCCTTCTCGTTCCCCCTATCCCTCTCCCGCTCCTCCCTTCGCCGCCCACCACCAGCGCCCCACCTCCACTGATCCCCCTGCTCCCCCTGCCCTCTAATTCCCAAGGCCCTCCTCAGCCTCTCGCTCTCCTCAATCTTAGCCTCCGCCAACTCATGCACCTGGTACGTCTTAAACTGCTTCCTTCCACCATCATTCGAACCAAGGGCGCCACGACTGCCATCGCCGCCTCCACCTCCCTTCAACCCTTCCACCTCCTCCGCCAACTCCGCCACCAACCGTTTCCGCATCGCATCCAACCGCTCCTCAATCGCCTCTTCAGACAGCTTATCTTTCCCCTCGCTCAGCTCATTCGCCTCCTCCAGTCGATCCCTCTCCTCCAAGATCTTCACCTCGATGGCCCGCCGCCGATCATGTTCCAGGATCTGCTTGTCCGGCTGGCGCTGTTTGAAGGAATCCTTGGACTGTTGGTCGGCGTTTGAGACAGGCGGGTACGGGGCGCCGTAGCCAGCATCTCGCGGTTTTAGGAATGAGAGGTTGCGCTGGACGTAGCCGGAGGTACCGCTGCCACGCGGGGTGGAGAGGCCGACGTTGGAGGACATTGTGGGTGGTGTGGATTTGGATTTTTGATTTAGCCCGATTGTGTGAGAGTGGCTATGGCGAGGTGTATGCGCGAGTTATCTTCGTGTATCTCCTTTTCGCTGCCGTTGGCCTTGGAGAGTCGCCCAGGGAACGCTGGTTGTGATTGCCGACGTTGGAATAGATGGATGTGAACTGAGGAATACGACTCAGAAAAAGCCCCTTCTGTATGGATATCTCCCCTCCTTCCTCTGAGCCTCACCGGTAACCTCGACTTAGCCGCCGAAACCGCCAGGAAAATATACTCTTATTCTGACTTGCCTACTACGGAGACGAGGGTCCGCCGAAAGCACAGTCGGAAAATTTGTCGCTATCTGGATCTCAACTGAGTTATCGTAGGAAGCGGTTGTAAATCGTCTTTTTTGGATGAAATTACCCTGTAGAATGTTTGGATAGGGAATCAATAGCTAATTGGAGTTTATTCGCAGGAATTGTTTGCGATATGACGATCGCCACGTGACCATCACATGAACATCCTCTGAGCATGAAGGTTATGGATTTTGCGGCGGGTTATCTTCTGTACCAATTTATTCTCAGTTAAATGAACAGTATATTTATATATAGAACAGTAAAATGCAAATAAGTAAATATAGTAATACAATAATTATATACATAATAAAAGAGCTCTACAAGCATGCCGAGTATTAGTTCAAAGACGCTGATAAGTATATAGTTAGATCCCAATGCCGGATTCAAAAATAAAAAAAAAATAAAAATCCAGAGGGAAAAAGGAAGGTAGATAGCTATCTCAAGGGCGACCCAGAACCCAGAACACAAGCATAGATTACCTGAGGAGGAGGAGGATATTCTGAGCAGATCAGCATCAATCCATCCCCGAATAAGTCAACCCACTTCAGAAATTTCCATTCAAGTTAGCTCCATCCAAACACCTCCGCAACACTAACTGTATTCCACCGCACCCCGACCACCGAAACGAACAATACAACCACATCCACAACCGCCAACACCAGCGCCCCCATCATAAACCGCGGATTGAAAATCCGATACAGCATTAGATGTCGACGCAGCAAGCCCACCCACATCGTCGTCGCCAGGTTTATCGTGGCATAGTACAAGATGTGCGTTGTGGCAGCCTGCGCAACGTCCGAGAGGAGTCGGCTCATGCCATTCTTGGGCGACGGTCTGGGAGCTGTGGGAGACGCCGGCTGCGGCTGCAGCCGCGCTTGAGTGGATGAGGATTGTGAGAGAGGACCGCTGCGGGCGTCAATGGGTCGCTTCCACAATACAGTCAGCGGCACTGCGACGGCGGAGAGGATCTGCGCACCAAAGGTATTCAGGGTGATAATGAGTGGTGACCAGGGATACTTGACGGTCGTCAACGGCACAAATGCGATTTTCCACTGGATGCTGCTCAGGGTAGCCTGGTGGCCCGTTGTGAAGAAATGAAAGGAACCCAGCAGACCCAGCACGACGGGGCCGATTGCGCAGTTGCTTGTCGTCAATCCGTTTGTATCGAGGATTTCCAGCAGGGAGAATATCTGCCAGGTTTGCAGACCGATAGCGCCACCGCCCATGGGTTTTTGGAGTAGGATTATAGCCAGGGCGAAGTTTATGAGAAGCAGGGAGTAGCGGGTGCCGTGGACATTGGCGTAGCCGAGGATTGTCACTATTGTTTTTGATGGGGGTGGTTGCAAGGCGGGTGCTACAGGGCTGTTGACGTTGGTGTCGGTGTTGGGGGTCATGGAGATGCTGACACAAGGTTTGGCCCAGCCAAAGGTAGTGGTGCCAGCGGCGAAAGCGATGGCTAGGACGACCTGAGCGAGAGTAACGCGGGTAGTTTTAACTATGGATTTAGGTAGGGCAGGGAACCAGTCACCATCGTCAGCGGCGTCAAGAGTCCAGAAGGCGGCGACGATGAAGAGGCCAGTGCGGAAGGCGATGCCGATCCAGAATACTGCAGAGCCTTCGTATGACTTGGAGCCTTGGTAGTAAGAACGGATGACGGACGGAAGAACTAATGCTAGTAAGAACAGGATAAGTAGATGCCACCAGGCAGATGTAGATGACGTTGACGAGGCGTAATACGTCGAGACACAAAGGGGCATCTGTTCTTCGCGACACAAACGGGAGAAAGACGCTATTCTGCCGAGAACAACAAAGACGATAGAATGGTAAAAGCCAAGTACCCTAGCTTCCGTATTCTTCTGACGCAATGAAGATAGCGCAGCCACGACGCCAAAGGTCGTTAGGAAGAACAATAATATCTCGTCTTCCCAGATGGTGAATGAGTTGGATGAAAACCCGATAGACTGCAACACCGTAAATATTATCGCAAGCCATGCCCAGAGCGAATTCGCCATGGGCGAAACGATCCGTTTTGGAACCCATAAAACCGTTGACAACGCAGCACAAATTCCGCCCACAGCTATCCCAAACACGAGCCCTTCAACGCGGGATAATTGGACAATCCGCATTCCTGTTAATATCATACCACCCATTACACCAATTCCAGAGCCAACTCCAATCCGCCGGAGCGTGGGGAAGGAAAGATCAGTGCGGTCACCACGGATCCCTCGAGCATAGCATAGCAATAGGATAAGACCAGCAAAGGAAATCAGGATCCCTTGAATCATGCTGGGGATGTCAAATCGAGTCCACAGACTCTTACACAGATGCAGCGTATCCCGCTGATACTCGCGGTACGACTTGTATGCTCCTAAAATCAGCCGATCTCGATCAGACCCGCGTCTCGGATGCGGATGCTGAGACATGGAATTCCAGTCTTCTTCCGCACGAGACCAGATCCCCAAGGGTCCGGAAGGATGCGTCTCATCAGCGCCCCTCGCAAGCGCATACGCATGCTGGTAACGTTTAATCTGCGCCGATGCAAGCCTATTGACGCGGACCAAGTTTGTCAAGTCGCGACCACCCGCGGCAGAAAAGGCCTCCTCGATAGGTGATCCAAGGTTGTTAAAGGGGATGGGAATTCCCAGTAGCAACGCCAGCGTCGGCACAAGATCAATCTGCGGGATTGGCCGCTCCTTTGCCGTCCGCGGAGGTTCCAGGATCATATCATTCGTCCGCCCAAAGACGCCCGTGCGCTTCGAATACATCCACAAGGCCGCTTCGACCTCATCGTCCGACTCGCCGCCATGGTCACCCTTACCATCCATTCCGTGATCCCCCATGACAACAAGCAAAGTCGACTCATCAATGGACCTCATGACATCGCGTATGACCCGATCCATCTGTTGCAACTTAGCCGCCATCGCAGCATGATTTGGCCCGTACCGATGTCCTGCATGGTCAACACCGAGAAAGTGGCCAACGATAACATCCCACTTCGTCGCGTTTTCCGCATGCAGGAGCGGGAATAGGTGCTCTATCACCCCGTTATCGACCGTGTGTAGGTCGCGGACATTAAACGACTCGTACGGGCGTGAGAGATTCGCTTCAAAGAGGTCTGGAAATAGCGATTGCCATGTATCATCTCCCAAATGTACGACTCGTTTCCCTGCACTATGTAGTTGCGCGATCATGTTATCCTCGTCGATGGCGGTGCCAGCAAAATTCGAGCCAGCGTCTATAAAGGTAGGCAAAGTGCCTGTAGTCAAGCCTTTGAGGCGCTGCAATGTGGTTGTAGGCGGATCGGCGATGAATGGAAGCAAAAACGCCTGATCGGGTGACTCCACGGCAGTTTCGTGAAGGACTGGGAGGTTGTTGTGGAAGAACTGGGGGCTGTTGTCCTTCGGCGGTGGGTCGGAAGGGGACAGTAAAATCATATCGGAGAGCATCGATTATGATGACAACAGCTTTGTCAAAGGTTTTCGGGATGCCAACGTCCTTGAGCGCTGGTTGCCATTTGCGATGAATCCCTCTTTCGCCGTCCGCTCAAATGGTAGCACTGAGCATTCCGACTTATTCTCCAGCACCGTACGTGTCAGGACCAACCCCTTAATGAATTAAAATATACCTACG